AAAGGACCATAGAGATCATCTTGTTCCAGTGGTAGGGACACCTTCCACTAGCCCTGATTGCTCCACCACCATCCAGCCTGGCCTGGAACACTTCAGGGATGGCATCATCAGTTAGCGTAGCCAAAGTGAAGCTGCTTGTGGAGTCATCCCTGGTGGCAATAGTGCAGATTTATCCTAAACTCTTCCTTGTCCCTGGGACTTCATCCTCTCATTCCACCATGAGTTGGTTGTGCACGATTAGTTCAAAGCCAGAGAACTACTTGAATGGGTTAGAGCAGAATTTGCACGGTGGTTTTGCTGGACGAGGAACATCCTTTACCAATTTCCATGCCTTTGGTGGTGACAGACTCTTGGAAGAGCCTTCATGATTGGAAAGCTTTATGTGCCTAAGAAATTGGAAGATATGCTTTATTTTTGTCTGATTATTTATTATGTGTATTTTCCATGAGACCTACAAATCTTGGGGGATTTTATGTTTCATTCCAGGGTGAGTTTGTAACTGGAGATTGTGGATCTGCCTTTGCAGTGGTGAGGTCAAGAGTCTTTAGTGTTAAGAGCACTTAATGTGTATTTTATTTGTTTATTTATTTAATACTTAGGAATGAGGTAACTGTCATATTCATGGGGAGTGGGAGTCTGGGATCGTGAGCACTTGTAACTAATACTCAAAATCTGACCTGGAATGAGAATTTGGGACTTGCTTCATTCTTTGCCTGTGATTCCATGATAATTAAAAGTTGCCAAAACCTTTGTAGCTGTGGAATACCTGTTGAGCAACAAAAAAACAGCAATGTGAAAGCAAGAAAAGTTCTTGGCGTCTTCTTGGCCAAGCACAGATACATATTCTGGGAGACCTTTAAGCATTTTGCAACATCCAGTTGCCAAACCAAGCCCTTTCTAGGAAAGAAAGACACCTTAGCCTCCTGCATTCCTCTTTAACTATGTTTTTTTTCCAAGCCTGTCCTTTTTTTTAATGATCAACGCTATAAATCATGAATCAACACCTCAGGCACACGAGGCAGTGAACAATTTGCTAGCACGGCCTTGGGTGCTGGTGCTAGTGTGTTTAAAGTCAGTTTTGCATCAGATATTTTGTTTTAAACTCTGAGTGATTCCACTTTTTCTACCAAAGGGCTGATTTCATGGATCATTGAATGAATTTTCCTGGCCTGTATCTTGTAAGAAATAAAGTTAAGTATGTTGATTTCCTGAGACCTGCAGAACAGTGACTTGTTGGGGACACCTCTGAGCTGAAAGTGACCTGTCCAGAGAGTTGGGAAGCTCCACAACACATCTGTGATCATAAAAACAATCCCAGAAATAGCCAAGTCCTGTGTATTGCTGCTCTCTCCCAGCCAGTGTGTGTGTCAGAGTTCCAGAAGGCAGAAAATGCTGGGACAGAGGAGACTTTATTGGAGACAAATTTGAGTCTCTCTTATGGAGTGGGAGGTTTTGAGGGGTTTGGGTGTTCCTTCCCTCGGACCATCCTGTTCATACAGTGGATTTGTAGTGTATTAATGGTTCTGCAGTGACTTATTTAGCTCTAAACTGACTTCTTGGTGTGGGTTATTTATGTCTGTAGGGTATGAACTTGCATTTCTTCATGTGTGTCCTTGAGGTTGGTACTGTTTGAATTAAAAGTAGCTGATTGGAAATTAGCCATAAGTAGAGGTAGGAAATCTGAGAAAAATAGTCTTAAGAGAGCAGAGTTTGGTCAGTGGGAGGTGGCAGCCTGCCTGGCCCTGGCATGGTGTTAGGCCTTTTGGGAGTCCTAATATCAAACTAAAACTCAGTGGCTCTCAAAGAGGAAGACAGGCAGTGCTGCCTGGCAGGGAAGAAGAGGAAGAGGAGAAAGCTGGATGCTGCTTGGAGAGGGGAAACTGTGGACAGAGCCTGGGAATGTTGTAGGGAAGCACTAAGATGAGTGGAAAGCTGCAAACAAGACTGAGACACAGATCTGCTGAAATATTGTCCCATGTGTCTCTTGAGGATCTACTTTGGGCTAATGGATCATTCAGTTCTCTGGAAAAAGTTGTTTAACTGCCATCAGTCAGTGGTCACAGGTTCCTGCAGAGATGTGCTGTGTGAGGGCTGGTGGCTGGTGTGGTTAACAGGGCTGTGAGGAGGAGGAGGATGAGGGAAGCCTCAGGATATGATCTTGGGTTTTGTACAGTGAGCACCAGAGTCCCTAACCTGAGGGGTGAACTGCTGAGGCATCACAGAACGCTGGTCTCTCTGCCCTGTTGCAGCTGTGGATGGAGAACACACTGCTGTATCCTGGAGGATTTGCTTAAGGAGGCCAATCCATGGGGATCCAGCCTGGGAGAAGGGCAGGTGGAGGCCTGTTAGCTGGAAAGGGTGTCTGGAGAAATGAGAGAGATGGCAGATTCCATTCATCTCTTCATCATTTCATTCAATCCTCTTCTCTCTTGCAGAAGTTAGCAGACAGGTGTGGGTGGAAGCCCCATCCTCATGGATGTCTCCAGCAATGGGGCTCATTTAGCCCAGCTGGCAGGTGTGTGTGGATCTGACCTTGGATACAAGTAGTGAGAGGTCTGTCCTGGCTTCCTGTGTTTCACAGAATCATCAAGGTTGGAAAAGACCTCCAGGATCATCAAGTCCAACCTGTAACCCATCACCACCTTGTCAACTAGTCCAGAGCACTAAGTGCCATGTCCAGTTGTTCGTTGAACACTGACAGGGGTGGTGACACCTCCCTGGACAACCCCTTCCAATACCTCACAGCCCTTTCACCAAAGAAATTCTTCCAGATGTCCAACCTGAACCTCTCCTGGCACAACTTGAGGCTCTTTCCTCTTGTCCTTTTGCTCTTTCCTCTTGCTGGTGGCCAGGGAGAAGGGACTGACCCCCACCTGGCTCCACCTCCTGTGAGGGACCTGTAGAGAGCAAGAAGGTCCCTCTGAGCCTCATTTTCTCCAGGCTGAGTCCCACAGCTCCCTCAGTCGCTCCTTGTGCTCCAGCCCCTTCCCTACCTCTATTTCCTTCCCTGGACACACTCCAGCCCCTCAATGTCCTTCTTGAAATAAAGGAAAGCAGCTCAGAAACTTCTCAGGAGTTTCCCTCTGAGCTGCAGAGTCAGCAGGATCCACTTGTGCCAAGTTGCTGTGCTGCAGGTACCTCCTTCCTCCCCTTTCTGTCCTTGGGAGTCACTCATGAAGGCAGTTGTTGTCCCCTCATAGACTCTGTCCCCAAAAACAGGCCAGACACTACCTGTTCTCAGCTCACCTGCAGAGCCAAGAGAACAGGTATCAAAATCTGGTCACTTAATCATCCTACTGCAGGGATTAGTGTGAAACACTGATGAGCAAATGCAGCCACAGTGCTGCCCCTTGATGTTGTCCTTTAGAGTGAAGCAACGCTAAAGTGCTGGAGCAGGTCCAGAGAAGAGCAACGAGGCTGGTGAAGGGACTGGAGCACAAGTGCCATGAGGAGAGGCTGAGGGAGCTGGGGGTGTTCAGCCTGGAGAAGAGGAGGCTCAGGGGAGACCTTAGCACCCTCTGCAACTCCCTGACAGGAGGT